GGCACACCTTTTTCTTTTAATCTGTCACACTCTACACCTTTTCAGGAGTTTTCACCTTCCACACCCTTTTAAAGCTAGTTAATCAGGCTGACAGTGGTCAATTATTCAGGGTGTTTTTATAAGTTTTCTTTTTCCTGCTCCAGTTGCTGTGCTACCACTTTGGTGGAAATTTGTTCTTCTCCTCTTTTCTTTTTATTGCTTCCAGATCTCCCAGTGGATCAGTGATAAGTTTTCGACTTGTACTCTTCACACCTGGTTGTGATACCTGTGTTAAATGTGGCTCAGGTGCTGTTTGTGTGAATCTGTCCTTCTTAACACATGGGGGAATTAAGTATTTCACATCATCAGTGCTCAGACTTTGGTAAGCTAGATATTTGTGTCCTTTGTAGTCTAAGTTAATTTAGATCTATTGTAAGTTAGGTATTGATTATTACTTTGTTTTCTAGGTAATTTTAGTCAGTTTGCAATATGTACTTTGTTGACTGGAAATTTCGAGGGTTTGTCAGTTTGTTATTAATAAGTACTTTGTTAACTAGGTATGTTTTCATAGCTTGTACATTACATATCATTACTAGTAGTAACATCTAATTCATTGTTCCATCTAAATAATGTTTTGTCATTGTTAAATATGTGCCTCATAATCCTAATTTTCATCAGTGTAAGACTTTATTTTTTTGCTTTGTTACATCACTGACATGTTCTTTTCTTTCTCATTTGTAGAGCTGAGTTTTGCTTTAGCTCCATTTCTTATGCTCATGATACTGGAAACCAATTTTTCTCCTTGTAGTCTACAATTTGGGGTTTGGCCCCACAGTGCCCACATCATTGATAGTTATTTATTGAGTCAAGTGTTCCTGTTCAGGGCCATAATGTTGAAACTAACCTCAGCTCTTTAAGCGTTTTGTCAGGTGGTACAAACTTTTCCCTGACATCTTCACTCAATGGTTTTTGCTCTCATCATTACATGGACAAATGGTTCCTGCACACTTTTTCCCATTCACAGTCCAGAGACCACACAAGAAGCATCATGGGTGGGATTCCTGATAAAAGTGGGAAGTCCATTATTATCCCCACTCAATACCTTATTCTTTTGGGAATTTTCTTCAATTCCAACCTCAGTCAAGCACAGTCTTCTTCTCTTCATCTTTGGGATATGGAGCAAGCAGTTCACAAGGCCCTCGCCTTTCATTCTCTCATAGCTAGAGATGTTCTATCTCTTTTGAGGATGTGGACTACCTTGAAAGCTCCTATTCTCATGGGTCGGGCCTATATGCATTCCCTTCTGTGGACACTCCTAGATCAGTGGAACTTCTACTCAGTTCCCTTGGACCACCCTTTTACCTTTCCTTCCTCAATTAGAGCTGACCTAGCTTGGTGGTTAGACAGAGACCAGACCATGGTGTGGGTGCTGCTTGCTCTACCTTATCTGGATTTACATCTGTTCACGGATGCACCTTCAGAAGGTTGGGGCGCTTACCATGATACTCAAGAGATTTCTGGTCTCTGGTCGGTCAAGGAGTCTTCTCTCCACGTCAACATTCTCGAATTTATCGTGGTTCATTGAGCTTTGTCCCACTTCTTTCCCCTCCAGCAGGGGAGTGTGATTATGGTACACTTGGGTCTTAGATTGTCTTGTTCCTGGCACCCTGAATCTGGTTGCAGATCAATTATCTCAACCCAACAAGATTCTACTCACGGAGTGGTCCCTTGATCCACAGGTCTTTTGGTGAGGGGGTTCTCAGCTAAGGACACCTCATATTGATACCTCCACCACTCACTGGAACACTAAACTTCCTTCCTTTTGGTCTCCTGTTCTACACCTAATAGCCGTGGGAGTGGATGCTATCAAAAAGACCAAAAGTGGAAGACAGATCAACACCTTTGGTAAATAGACAAAGAAGAAGGTCTTATGGATCAGGAAGGAAAGATACAGCATGTGAAATCAGTCCCTAGGCTAAGGCAAGGGAACTGAATAAAACCATGCATGAAGAGGATGGTGGTGACATCTTGATGAACAATGTCTAACCGATGTTGACAGAATAGAGACTGCGACAGAGGTAAGGGTAGGGGAAGTTGCATTAGTAAAGGTTGAAGCAGTGAAAACCATGTCTGTGACAGCCAATATGGAGCCAGCAGGAGGGCTAATCACAGAGTGGTGTGAATTATGGATAGAACTCTGGGGAGGAGTCAAATAGATGTGAAGACCCCTCCAATTTTGACTGAATTGATTTCTGTCCTTTCCACCATTCTGTTCCTCATCTTTCCCAATTCTTCACCTGGTTGTTTGAACAAAGCTTATCCACTTCAACCATGTCTAGCTGTCGAGCAGTCTTGTCAAACACCTTCCATTTCTCCAAGTTTCGTAAGGTTTTGTCTTCCCCTCTCATTTTCCTCCTTTTCTACTCTTTCTGTGTCCTGCATCCTCCTCATTCCTTTGATTTGCCTGTGTGGTCCTTTATACCCTTTCCCATCCTCCCTTTGAACCTTTGTTAATGTGTTCCATATACCATCTCTCTCTCTCTCTCAAGACCTAATTCCGTTTCCTCCTTGTCTGCAGATGTCATCAATCGGATATTTATGCCATTAATTTTTACCAGAATCCTCTAATGTCGTCCTTTACCCTGACCAGTCCTTCCTCCCTAAAAACTTCTGCTGCCCGTGAGGGTGGTTTAGTTTTCACTCCCATTTCCTTGCTTTCCATCACCAACCTGTACTCCTGTTTGAATCCTGATTGACCTCCGTGTCTGGTTTGCTCTTATGGTGTTATGTGGCATGTACTGCCTCCTTTAGGAGTTCATGTTCCCAAATTTTAATTCCCTGTAATACTTCTGCTTCCCATAATTTATCACCTGTCACACTAATTGGCGTATTCAGACTTGGAAGGTTGCTATCTCCACAACGTTTCTTCTCATCAACTTTGTCATACCACCATGTCTTTGGCTGCTCAACTTCACCATCTGTTGGAGAAGATTGTTCAATCCGGAATGTGGACTTCTCCCAATACCTTTGTCATTCATTATCCACACGATCTGGCTGTATCTTCCTCAGGTAGATATCATCTCCCTCATGTGGTGATTATACACACATCCATTCATCTTTGACTGAAGTAAGTCTTTTCACATCATTTTAGTTATGTTTTCTTTTCAGGGATCTTCTTTTACCACAGCTAATAGGATCCCATTCTGTGGTGGGTGTTGCCTGGTCAGGTATGCTTTGCATCAAACCCTCACTATATACTGGTTGCACTATAACACTCACTGCAGAGATGGGGTGTTCTGCAGGATCGCGGGTTGCATGCCCAGTGGTATATAACATATGTGTTTCTCAGTATTCTTCAGTTTCACTCAGAAGTGAACCATCACTCATGAACTTTCTTGAATAAAGCAGAAGAGTATTTCTGCCCATCCCTTCTGACCCCTTGATTGCATAAGTTGGGGAAGGCCTGCTATTTAAAAATAGAGGATCATGGTCACCCATTGTACTTTCTTCCATGTGATGTTGCTCAGGACTTCTCTCTTTTTTTCTCCAAATGGATTAAGGAAGTATTTGCCAATTACCAGTTTGCAATCACTGGAGTGGCAGATCACGGAAGTTTCTCCTGAGTGTGTTGTAGACATCTAATTTACCATACATCTGAACAATTATCCAATCAGTGAGAAGAGGGCAAAGCTGGTTTCCCTCCTAACATTTCCCCTGTATGCTTATTCCAAGCTGAATAGATTATTGGTTGGAGCAGGTCCAGCCTACATGGGATCCTCCTTATAGTACTGGGTTTGGGATGACACTGCCCTGTTTTTATGGTTGAGTGCAATAGTGACCCCATTTCACATTAATTCCAGTTGTGAGAGTTTCCTTCCTCACTCCAGTAGTTGGGTTTGGGATTCCAGCTTTGTATGATGGGAGTTAAGACTGTATTGAAAGCTAACATTTTCTTACACGGAAAATGTATTTCCAATAGGGACTTAGCTCTACTCACACACACTTCCCACCCTTCTTACCCACTGTTGGTATGGTTAATTTTAGATCCTGTCAATTCTCGAAAGTGAGGATTGAGTGGGAACTCAGAGGGAGCTAGCTGTGCCAATATAGGTGGCACAATACTGTTGGTGGAGAGTAGTCACATGCTACATACATGTTCAAAAGTGGTACAAATTTTGTGGGGTATATAGACTTGTGCACTAAGTGTAAAATGTTTTTAGCAATTTTTGGAGGGCAGAAAAAAGATTGAGATAGCTTTGTAAGTACATTTTCAGTTTAAGAAAATGTTAACTTCTGAGACAGCATACTGTGACACTTGTCTGTGGGGCCTAATTTTAATAGTATCTGGGCCAATACTTGACTTTATTCATAGACTAGATTTCATTATTATCACTTGCCACAAACTGACTCTTTTTGTAAAATAATTCTAAGTGTAGTGACATTTCAGGTTCTGTCCCTCATATATCATTCCATAAGTTATCAGTGTAGATAAATTAGCTTTAAGTTGGAGCTCTTGACTGTTTAAGTAAAATGCTAGATGTTATTTGTTTTTAACCACTGCTAGACATGGTTTGTGGTTTTACATGGTTCATTATCATCTTGAAAGAAGTATGGTACCACGAGAAAGTAGCATTCTCCTAACTGTCACACTACGATAAAGCATTCATGATAGTTTTCCACTATTCTTTACCCTACTTGTAAGAGTTAACACCTTGTATTCAGTGCTATGATGAATATCTTATGGATTGTAGCTCATCCATGAAATTTGTATATAATTTGGTTAATAGCTCTTGTAGAACGTATTGCTTGTCATGTTTAAGTGTATTCTTTTAACACATTTGTTTTCTGTAATGGAACTTAAGATTTAAATACTATTAATTTGCATCTATCTATGATTCGTGTTTTTTAAGAATGTGAGTTAAGTTTGAAATTTTGAATACACCTGAATACAAGACTACTACATGTTGTATTTTTAAGTTTCTTTCTTAAATGTTATTGATTATAAAATACTTATCCTGTAGGAAGCATTGTCAGTCTTGCTTGACCCAGTTATTGATCCTTCTGTCTTCAAGTCATGGCATCACCTTCATATCTTGATAGCTTTTCTGTACCAAGGAGAACATCAGAAGGCATTGAAGTACACCAGACTCAGAAATCCCTCACTGGAAAACATAAATGAAGCCAAACTTCACCTGACAATCTTACTAGCTAACAGGTCTTTTTTGTTTTTTTACAAACATTCCAACTGCTTTGTAAACTTATATAAACTTGAAACGTTTGTCAGCTATGTCTGGAAAACTGATCAGTGGCATAAGTATGCCTCCTGTAATGGTGGGGGCTTAAGCCAAGTAAGGGCTCAAAGGGCCTGACAAACTAAAGAATTGCTGACAAGGGAAATAAATGTATAGGGGGCCCAATTACTTTTTATGTTGTGGGGGGGGTATCTTTTGTAATCATGCCAATGAAAGAATGTTTATATTCTAGTTATAAACATAAAACCTATATTTAAATATACATCCCTCCTATCATCTTAAGATTAAACATTGGATTCACATACATTCATTTCTTAAACTCTGTATGAAGATTAAATTAATATTTATTTATAAGTTGACCATTCAGTGCCATTTTTGTAACATTTTCAATATATATATATATATTACTTTAATATTTTTGCCACAAACACATTATCTAGGTAGATGGATAAATTATAACAATGAATTTCCAATGTACATTGTTTTAAACTGTTGAAATACAGAAATTTGATATATTATTGAACACCAGGTTGACAGCTGAAGCATTTTTCTTCCAACAACAGTACAGGGACCAGAGAAACATGAATGATTTACTTTCACATTTCTTCTTGGGATGTCAGCAGAGTAAGTGCACATAAATATATACAAGGAATTTTCATTTTTTGAATTTGAAAATTAAATATCCTTTATCCTTACAAAATGTGGCTGTTTAATTTAGGAGAATAAAACTTTTTTTAGATTAGCCCATTTACATAGATCTAAAATTACACTATCCTTAAAACAAAATAACATATGTAATTTTAAGAGAAGAGAACCAACTTAAAATATAATACATCTTATATTGTTTCAAGTTTTGTTTCTGTAGCTGTATAGTTTTTTCTAGTGAAATTAGACATTATTTTTTACATTTATTTAATCAATTTTTTAAAGATCAGTTTTTGTTTTTAAAAGTACAGATTCTAGAATGATCAATTTCAGTTTTGTTTGTAGCTAAAATTGTGTTTTGTTTAAAATAACAATCAGGTGGTAAGCTGTAAGGGAAGTAGCTATGTATGTGTTAAGAAAATCATGAATATTACACACACACATACTACTGTCATTTTGATTTGAATGATCTATGGTAAGTCATGATTTCTTAATTGGTAAAATAGAAACCACACTATCAAAACTCAGCTTACTTGATTTGTAGTTTCAAAAGAGAAATTACAGATTTCAATTGCAGCAAAAGGTAATTACAAGTTGTGGCATGGGTTGACCATGTGGTAGAACTCTGGACTTCATAGCTGGGTTCAACTATATGCAATACCTCAAAATATTCTCTTCACTGTAAGTGACAATCAAACCCTCAGTATGGATGGTAGGATGCTGCTGACTGGCTGCCTTCTCTCTCATCAGTAGTTCAAAATTAGAGACACTGCTATAAAAACTCAAATGCAAAGTTACAACATAATTTCTAATTGATTATCATTTCATTTATTTAAAAAAAGACTTATAAATATATATACTATTACATCTGGTTCATCTAACTCCTTAATAGTTATTTTAAAGTCATTAAGATTTTGTTCCTTAAAGGCTTTTGTTTCATGACATACAGATATTTTTGACAGAAGTAGCACATTAAAAAATGTTTTCAAGAATTGAATTTATTCATAATTTGTTTATTTTTTATCATATTCCTTGTATGTTTAGCACATATGCTGGACTCATTGTTAAAGTTACCACTTAGTGCAGTAGAGGAGAAATCTCTTTTTCAGTTTTTATTCAAAAGCAATGACCCAAGATCCAAAGAATTGTTACTTATGTATTTCTTACAAAGGAGTCGTCCATTACAGGCTGCACAGTTGAATGAAAGAATTTATCCCCAGCTTATGGTAAAGTATACATTTTGGTATTATAGATAAATTTTACTTGTATAAAAGAAGGTTTTTAAGAAACATAAGATAATGTATAATGCTGTTTTTCACTACTAAAAAGTTATTTAACAATGATTTGACATAAAGAGAATATAGGAAAACAATTGTACCTATCAAAATTATAAAAATTGCTTTTGAAATCAGGATTACTATAACTTTTCTGTGCTTTATACAGGGTTGATTATATTATATTAAAATTATTTTGGATATGGAAATCAGCAAGTTACATAACAAACACAGCTGATGTTAAATCATGGTGAACTAGTATGTATCAGAAATACATTTTTACATTGCTTGGCATTTCGTAGATAGTGTGAAGCCATTGAAAATTAATCATGTTTGGAAAGGGTATGTAGTAGCCTTTCTGATGCAAAATATTCATAAATATAGATCATAAAGATATGTTTAGACTGGGGATTTAAAACTTACAAGATGGGAATATCCTTTATAGTTAATTGCAGTGGAAAACAAAGGAATGTGGATTAACTTGTAGAACCAGGACCATCAAAAAAGATACCTGCAATAAGTCATACCCGAGCTATGGTGAGCAAAGTGTGACATCTTATAACAGGTGAGAATCGACAAACACAAAAGTCTTTGGCTAAAGCCATTTACATATCCCAGGCAGCAGTACATAGCATAAGGAAGAAAAATCTACACATGAAAAAGTGACGCAACATATTTGTTCAAACATAGCACAACTTAAGTAGCTGGAGAATTATACAGGTATAAATGTATTCCACATGAAGACATACTAACCAAATTGCCAGATGTATAGCCTATGGATGTCTGTACAATCTGACTGTTTAGACAGCCATCATCCTCCAACACTGAATGGATTATAGAAAGCTGCACAGATGTGGGGGTGTGCTTAGAACATGAGGGCCATATGATGGTGTCTTTTGCCTTGTAATAAATGCTGCATGGCATCGTTAAGGTGTATGGTCAGTAGATAGAGCATGATTTGGCATGGTGATGTGGACTGTAATGACATGGTGAGGTTGCATAATTATGTTAATATAATGTACTCAACCTTTGTAAAATTCAAAATTAGAATGCTTAGGATAATATCTTGGTGTATAGTTCAGAAAAAATAAATTTGTCAGCATAAATTTCTATCATTTATTAAATTTTAGGTCTTTTCATATTTGAAAATGTTCAAAACTTCATAGCTACTGAAATGAATCATATATAGTTAGTTTTTAAATTTTTATTTTCGTCACTCTACTAAAAGAATAAATATGCACAGCCACATTTTATCCCACATTTGTTTTATTTGGTTATTGAAATATAGTTTTCAAAATTAAACAATGATCCTACAATACACAAGAAACCAACAGATTTTAACAATAATACTGAAAGAATAAATTTTTATAGGTGATCATTAGATTATGATAATCTAACTTGTAATAAATAACCAATTTTTTGAGAAAGAAAGCTGAACATTATTTTTTCTTTCAAGAATTCTGATGACTTAAGTTACAAAAATAGACTTAAAGCAAGAAATGCTCTAGTTAAAGGACACCTCCTATCTCTTCCTGAAGCTCAACATCATTTGGCATCAGACATTTTACTCCACCAACATCAGAGGTTGAACAGGAGACTAGAAGGTGGTTTTACTAATTTAATTTTTCATAAGCTTTATTAATGTACAATTTTGTATTTGAGCAATAATTTAGCAAACAGTTGTTTGTTGAATCATTTATCTTTTTATTTAAGATAAAAAAGTCATAGTTAAATAAGTATTGCTTAGGTAAATGTCATACAGATTGTTTACTTGTTCCTATGTTTTAAACTCAAAGCTATACAAAAGGTTGTGTATGCTATACCTACAGTCAGGATCACATCTTGAATTTTAACATAATAAGCTTTCAAACTTGCAGCTAAGTACCAGGAAGTAGATGTCTTATAACTGGATATTAAGTTTTTAAGCATTTGCATAGATATAAAACAATTTTTTAGTATAACCTTAATTGAATATATAAAAATTCTGTATATTCAAAGTTGCCTTCATTAAAGCAGTTTTGTCAATCTGTAGATTTTGCTCAAAATGAAGTTGTGAAATCTTTCTTTTAATAATGAATTTCTGCAGTGTCATGGTCTTTTCCTGTATCAGCTTTTGTTTCCACCAAGACTTTGCCATTGGTTTCCTGTTCAGATTTTTCTCAATTTATAATGGCCAAAATTGGTGAAACTGAACCTTCTGTAAGTCAAGATCCAACACCATTTATAAAGAGGTAATTTTATGAATTTGTAATGTTTTGATGCATTGAAAAATAAAAATTAAAGGTGGTGAAGTACAACTTAGACTGACAAGAATATAAATGAATAATTTGATAAATTCATTGCTTTGTGAAAAAGGTATGTCTAAGTGTTAAATGAAACATAATTTTAAAATATTTACTATTTCAAAATTTTCTTATTTATTGAACTCTTTCCACCTTAATACTCGTAACTGTTTACTAAAATAGTACATTTTCTAGAATACTTAGTTTGTTTTGATGGACAACCAAAAGTTACACATTAATGCAGATGTCATGTTGCAATGGGGTTTCCTGGAAAGATAAAGTACAATTTTAATGTTATACACCAAGTGAAAAGATAGCAGTACGGTTACCCTAGATATGAAGTGTTATGGCTTTGATTATTTTTGCTTCTTAGTAATATATAAATAAGTGTTGATCTGTTATTTTATTTTTCAACTTTTCATTTTGATTCAACTACTTTTGTTACTTAATGCTATTGAACTCTAGTTAGTTAAATATATGAAATAATTATCAAAATAAAACAAAAATAATCATTAAACTTAAAAGAGAAATTACCAAAGTATCCAAAAGTAAAAAACAAAAAAATTGGCTATGAGGAAAATACAAATCATGTGGGTGCAATGAATTTCATTACATTATTTTTAAAGCCTCATGCATTGATTTTTGCATTTAAACAGCCATGGAGTGTAGCTCTATATTAATGCTCATAGTTAGCCTAATTGACATTAGCTTACTGACGTGACTGAACATTTATGCATATTTTCAACTCATTGCATTCTCCCGCACTTGATGCCTACAGTTTTATTGTCAGGGTCACTGATTACCTTATAGGTAAGAGTAACTGGAGATTTGATCAACAAATGTATTATGAACTTAAAGCTGAAAATTCTTATTTGGTACCTTACCTCTGCTCATATAATAACTTTTCTCATTCAGTAATGCCCTCTATATACAAAATGTTTTGCTCAACACCAGCCTTCAAATTCCCATGTACCCACACAATCAACATGGTTTACTGCATCTTTGCATGTAAGGCAGTCATCGAGTTCAGACATTCTCTATTTTTGTGCAAATTTCCATGATACTTTCTTTTTTAAAGTAGTATTTTCAAGTTTCTACAGTTCTCTGTTAATTGTAGTTTATTAACAAATTAACTTATCTTGTTTTTTCTTTGGTTTGACATTTTTTTTCAAACCTTTTTCTTGGATTCCCAATTTCTTCATGGTCAAATATGAATTCCAAATTTCATATCATACTTGTAATTACTCTGCTACTGTAATTACTCCTTTGATTGTTGTGACACAGGCTTCAGGTATGGGGATCTCAGCTGAGGATGTCTCAGCTTTAGTTAGTCAGGAGATTGAACTTTACATGGGTCATCCATTTCCTTTGCCACTTCCCAGATGCTTCCAGTGCCAGTAGAATTCTGTTCATGACGACGAGGATTTTGACAGCCTGTTTCTTCCAATCTCTATGCTGTGCAAGCCCATGCCTCTTCTGAGGAATCAGCCAGGCCCTCCTCAGCCTTCTTGGATATGATTTCTCAGGTATGTTACCTTTTATTTGAATCCCCAGTTTCAAATGCTTCTACCCCTTTCCTGTTACATGCTGCTCCATCGTCTGAGTACCTTGTGTTTCCTCCTTCTCCAGATATTAGGGTCCATGCTAATTATTTCCTGTCTCAAAGGAGGGTAGGAACCAGCATGACCTATGGGCTTCAGATAATAATGTCTTGGCTTACCATCAGACTGGTT